CTACCTGACTCGCTGAGGATACACCTGGATGTGACTTGGGTGGAGCCGCGAGTTTGGGGAGGCAGGTTTTCAGGGAATTCTCTGGGTGGAGTGACCTCTGTTATCCAGTTTGATGACATCAGGGCTTTGGTGGTGTCGTTGTCAGGTGCACTGGTAGGGGGGAGAGCTCAACAGGGAAAAATGGATACTGCCAGCACTTCTGTACAGAGTGAGTCTTGCTTCACTCTTACAGTGTCTCCTTGTAAGTCCCTGGTGCCCCCTGAATGCAGCTGAATGAATGGACGCCGCAGCTGAATGAATGGACGCTGGTGCTCAGTGTGAGCAGGTTTGTTGCCACGAGAATCCGCTCAATTTAAGAGACATCTGCCACTGCCGCAGCCTCCATCTCACTCAGCCACTCGAGACAGGGCCGCCCCGCGTCCTTGCCCCATCCTGCCTTCTACCGTTACAGGGTGCTTTCTTGGATTTCTCCCTAGTTGTATGACTTGTTCATCTAGATCCCAGGGGATTTTTCTTGCTGCTTCTCCTTGTTTCCGTCACAACTTTGATTTGGTCTCCAGAGCGATGAACAGAGCCTCTATCATCTATGCCATACTTTTTCCCTCCTTCACTTATAATCTTTATCTTTTCAGTAAATGGCAACTTCATTCTTGCAGTTACCTAGTTAAAAAATTTTTTTTGACTTCTTTTTGTTACTACACATATCCAGTCTGTCAGCAAATACTGTTTGTTCTACTTTCAAAAAAGACCCATATTCCAATCACTTCTCACAGTCTTCAGTGCTACCACCCTGGTCCTAGCCATCCTTGTATTTTGTCAGGATTTCTGCGCTCATCTCACCATTGGTCTTCATTCAGCGCTGCTCAGCCCCCTTTCTTGACTTCAGTGTCCACTCAACTCAGCAACCACAGGGACTTTGGGAACTTAATTAAAATCATATTTTCCTCAGCTTAAAACCCAGGAATGACTCCGTCATTCACTTAGAGTAAATGTCAAAGTCGTCATAGTGGCCAAGAGGCCCTCGTGTCTGCTTTTCCATTAACTCTCTTACCTCACATACTTGGTCCCTCTTCTGCAGTCTTATTAACCTCCTCACCAAGCATCCTCCCTCCTCTAGGCCTTTTCACTTACATGTTCTCTCTGCTTGGGGTAGCTGCACGGTCTGCTCTCTCATTTCTTTCAGGTTTGGCTCAGATCTTTATCTTCGAATCCTATTGCATTGTTTTCTGATACCAAATATTTGTCATTTCCCAAGCCCATTCACCAGTTCTGACACTGACTACCCAGTTATCATCAGACTCCACAGGTTTAAGGGCATAGTCCACAAAGCTGTCCCCACTTCAAATGGTAGTTGCAAGTCCCATAATTCCCTCGTTAGGTTTGATAATTCCCTAGACTAACTCACAGAGCTCAGGAAATTACTTACATTTACTGGTTAATTATAAAGGATATAGCTCAGAAGGGTGTCACCTCTTCAGCATATCAATGTGTTCACCAACCCTTGTCATTTAGGGGTTTTTATAAAGATTTCATTATACAGACACGATTGATTAAATCATTAGCCACTGATGATTGAACCCACAAGGTAGAAGGGTGCTGAAAGTTCTAAACCTGTAATCAGCTTGTCGGTTTTCTGTCAACCATCCCCCATCCTGAAGCTATCTAGGGCCCACTGCCACCATTAGTCGCTTCATTAGCATAACAAAGACAGTAAGTTCCAAGGATATTAGGAGTCTAAGAGCTAGAGACAAAGACCAAATTTTTATTTTTTACACACCTGGCCTGACCCTCTCTGTAAAATAATAACTGTTTCCCATTCCTCCAGTACTGTATTCTTCCCATTATCCTGATTTATTTTCCTCCATAGCACTACTCATCATCTGATGTATTGTATATTTTCTCATTTCTATGTTTATTTTCCCTTTTTCTGTTAGAACCTAAGCTCCTTGAGGGAAAAGACTATGCATGTCTTGTTCACTGTTGTGTAATATTGCCCAGGACTGAGACTGGCATAGTAGATGCTCAGTAAGTGAATATATTCTTGGCAGGCTTAGCTAAGCAAAGAAGAGGGAGTTTTCCTGGGGTGCCAACATCTGACTAGAAATTTTAGCTAACCCAAACATTTGGTTCATTTTGTGTGGAGATCTAGAGTTGTGTTGCCTGTGGGTAAAGGGTTCTATGTACACTTGTTCTGTATTCATATTGTCAAATTGGCTCTTCATTTCCCCATGGTTTCCTTGTGTTTCTGCTGTAGTGGCTAACTCTGAGCCCAGAGCCTCTTTGGGGTTCTGTCAGGCATATGAACTCTCTCCTAGGACTTTCTCCTGTCTGTCAGCCTGTTTCTATTTGCTTTCTGTTTTCCAGAAATGTTTCTCATATTTCCCATTCTCTTCACTGTTCACTATATATTTTTGTATGTCTCTGTGTTTTTTCTAGTGGGGCAAAGCAGCCGGAATGTCAAAAAGCCAATTTAAGTTTTAGTCCCATATATACTTAGAGTGAGAAAAATAAGGTTAAATGTTTGATCTCTATAAAGATGTTTGAGAAAATGATAAAAGTGAGAACAGTATTTGTGTTTGTGATGACAAACTGGAAAAGTTTTTCGTGAGAAATGCCTCATTTTCTTGCCAACAAGGATAAATGAAGACAGTATTTTGCTTATTTAGCTTATTGAAAACTGATTTTTGTTTTCCTGTTAGGGATTTGCAGCAGATCTTGCTGAAGCCATTACCTCCCTAGATCTGCCTGTGGCAGTTATTGATCTGAAAGAATATGATCCAGATGATCATCTAGTAGAAGAGGTTGGTAATTGTCTTATTTTTTCTTGAATCAAAATTCAAATTTAGTGACCTCCTGTGTTCTGGGATAAATAGAATCAGAATAAATTTAATTTTTATGTTAAGGGATTTCAGTTGGTTGAATTTTCAGTGTCAGTCCGAGCTGTCGAATGTATGGTGTGTTACACTGGTTCTGAAGTGGTGTGGAGCCCGTCTCTCTGGTGTGTTAGACTCTCCTGGGGTAGAGGTGAAGGTGGGAAAGCTTGGATGGTTTGAGGTTCCCTCTACCCTCCTGCTTTGAATATCATATTCAAGGAGGGCGGTTATTGTTGGCAGTGTGCCGGCATGTGAACCATGTGTAAGCCCCCTGAAAGGTCAGGGGCCACTTGGGTAGCAGAAGGAATATGGGTTTTGGAGTTAGAGAAGTCTCTTACTAGTTGTGTGATCTTCCTGCATTACTTAGTATCTATGAGAGTTTAATTTCTTCACCTGAAAAAGGCCCCTTCCCCTCCTCTACTCTTAACCCAGTTAGGGAAGTTTGCCTTACGGTAGTGTGACCCTTGAACCAGCAGTATCAGCATCTCCTGGGAGACTTGTTAGAAATACAGATTCCAAGGTGCTAGCCCAGCCCCGCTGAACCAAAGTCTGGATGTAGGACCATGTTTTAATAAGTGCCCCAGATGATTCTGAAGCAGCTAGAGTTGGAGAGGCACTAGGGCACGGGTGGACAAACTTTTTCCGTAAAGAGCCCGGTAGTAAATATCTTCAGCTTTGTGGACCATGCAGCTACAGTTCTGCCTTTGAGGCACAAAACAGCCATAGACAATATGTAAATGAATGAATGTGTCTGTGTTCCTCTCAGACAGGTAGCAAGCTGGATTGGGCCTGTAGGCTGTAGTTTTCTAGCCTCTTCTTAGTGGATAAACTTGGAGTTGTTACTGTCCATTTTTCTTCCCCAAGAGAACAGTGAGTGAGCTCGAATCTGCTCTAAATTATTTGCAAAAAGTTATTAGCAAACTTTGATACTTAGTAGTTAGTAAGGGATTACTTATAATTTACCTCACAAATTGGAACTCTTAAGATATATTCAAGCAGATAAAATACTGTGACTAGCAGGACTGAAGATGTATTTTGTTTACCCATGTGGATGATGGTGCCAAGTCATTACTTTACATTTAAAAAGTTTTATTGCTTTAATTTTTCACATAATTTTTTTAGAGATCTTTCTGCCTTTTTTCCTAATCTACATTTTGTTTCCAATATGACCAACTGGAGATGATAGGAATTTATAGTCTGAGAAATGGAATGGAGTATATGTTGAAGGGCACCAGGAGATATATTGGCAAGGGACTGGGTTTTCTCCCCTGTGCAAGGTGTCTTTGCTGTGTTTTGAAAAAGATTAATGTTTCTGAAAGCACCCTTTGTCCTTAGAGATTAATATGATAGGAATATCAGAGTTAAAAAGGGATTTTCTTCTGGGATATTCTTCTGAAATAATTATTTTTTTGGTTAGGTTACTAGTAAAAGTATTTGTGTCTTCTTGGTTGCTACATATACTGATGGTCGACCAACTGAGAGTGCAGAATGGTTCTGCCAGTGGTTAAAGGAAGCATCCACTGATTTTCGATTTGGCAAAACTTACCTGAAGGGTATGAGATATGCGGTGTTTGGCCTGGGAAATTCTGCCTATGTGCGTCACTTCAACAAGGTGAGTACAAGGTAGATAGATGTTGAATTATAGGGATAAATTCTCTCGATTAAAAAAATTTAATACACACACATACACATATAAATAATCTGCAAACTTTGGTATTTAATTATAAACTTATTATGTTCTTTATAGCTGTGAATTGCTACACATATATATATATCCAAGATTGTGTATAGTAGGCTCTCAGTAAATTTTTGTTGAAGAAAGTGAATGAATATGACTTGTTTTGTGTAGTGTCTTAGGGGCCTGGATTCATGGACTTTTGAGTCCAGCCTCCTCTCCCCAGGTAGGACCTTGTAGATGGAAGATCACTGATTCTTTGGGCTTCCTCAACTACCTGTTCTGTTATTGAATAACCTTTACTTCCCAAGCTAACTCTTAATACATTTGAACTCATTGTCTTTTAATCATTAATTTTTAAAAGGCAATAGAAGAAAAACATCCACTCCTTTTTATATAATAAAACATTAATTGTTTTGTTTTCCTGGATCTTTTTTCTAAATGAAATTAACTAGGTTCCTTTACTTTTTCATTGTATTCTCTATACTTTAAAAAATAAAAATTTGGAACTTCAGTTTCTTATTGGTTCTAAAATGTTACTAGAACTTTTGAATGTGTACCTTTCCTCAAAAATGGGCCCAGTTGGCTCACCTGTCTTTGGTAGAATGTGAGCAAAGGTGAAAGTGGAGACCTTTCTTTAAACTTGTTTTCATTCAGTTATTACATCAAGTTATGTATATGTTTCCCCTGTATTTTAGAAGTAATTAGACAAAAAATGGTAAAATTAAGATATGTAAGTATTTTCTTTAATGCCTTGCCACTCAGAAAGTCTTATGCTTTTTAACTCTTAACTGTGTTTCTTGATAACACCTGTACCTCAGCTTCACATTGCAATAAAATGAATTTCTGAGTTCATGAAATTGTGAGTCTTGCCAAATGGGCTCCATGTGTACTTTGCTATTAAATGGGCTTTGGTCCCATAGACTTGTGTTACATTTAGGAACAAATTTCGCTAATGAATGATTTTATTTTGACGTCGTTTCGTTGTTTCGAATAGTGGTTTTCAGAATTGTTTTTTAGGCTTTAACCCTTAGTTTAGTTAAAGGGTTTATCTCTCTTTGTTAAAAAAAAATCTTTTGCAGAATCTTATCAGAATGTATCAACTATAGTCCATGTGGGTTGCAGCTGGGGCTGGAAGGCCTGAAGCCTTTTTTGGCTGAGCAGTTCCCTCTTGCCAGAGCAGCAGCAGGAGTTCCCACAGCTACTTTAGGCTTTTGCAGAGCAGTCTTCAAACCTCTGATTTAGGTTGTGTTTAGCTTATCTCTCTTTTTTTCTTGCAGGTTGGCAAGAATGTTGATAAATGGCTCTGGATGCTGGGTGCTCATCGCATAATGACTCGAGGGGAGGGTGACTGCGATGTTGTTAAAAGCAAACAGGGTAGTATTGAAGCCGACTTCAGAGCTTGGAAGACCAAGTTCATCTCCCAGCTCCAGATCCTTCTTAAAGGAGAGAAGAAACCCTGTGATGGCAACTGTAAGAAGGGCAAATGCAAATCTAATGAGCACATTGCAGAGGAGATTGAGCCATGGTCTCACGCTCAGGACGGATTGCATCAGAGAGACACTGAGGTGTGTGGCCTGTGTATTCATGTCTTTCAGTGTTTGGAGATACTGAACCTTACCTCTGCCCTGAGACACTATTTCAGTGGCTTCTGGTTAGAAGGAAGAAGATCTGGAATTCACGTAGGAGTGTTTTAGAGAGAGTGAAGTCTTAGGAGTTAAACCATGCTGTGCTGGATGCTTTCTTGTATCTCTTTAACTGTTGCATTGCTAGAGTCAAGTAGATTTCTAGGATAGGATATAGGCCCAGAGAAGTTAAATATGTCCAGGGCTGAGCTCATATCTTTTTATCCACAAACCACATATTGCTCCTTATCTCTCTAAAATGAATCTGTTAATCACTCAAACTTAAAGGCCGCAAGTAATCCTAGATTCATCTCTTTCATCCCTCACATTCTAAACATTTCTCTTTCTTCCTTCTTCAGATAACCCAGTTTCTTTGTAACTTATGTCATCAGGCTGTATCACAGCTGTTGTCTTTTGGCCACCTGTCACTTGCGTCATTCAGGAACAGCTTTACATTCTGACTCACTTTCCTTTTTTCTCCACCCTTGTTCCTGTCATTACTCTTTGTGGCTAAGTCATCCATGTAGATGATTTATACAGCACCCTGGCCTGCCAGTTTCCTGGCCTTCAAACCTCCAGCAACCATTTTCTTTCCTGATGGCCTCTCATTTCCATGGTTACCTCTGAAATTTCATGTTCCTATGACCTAAACTCTGACCTCTTTCTGGTATTCTTTAAAATTCTTTTTATCCCATACCTTTTTCATTAAATAGTGAAAACTGCTTATTTTACTTCTGTCCTTACCCAGTTTAAATTTTTATACTCATTCTTTTAAAACATCTTCAGTTGCTAAAACATATTCAATTGCCTTGTTTTCCACTCCGTTTTATAACCCAACTGACTGAACTCCAAGCCAGGTTGAAACCTGCTATCTGCCTTCCCCGTGGCCTGCTGCTTGCTGATTGACTGCAGTTCATGACCACAGACTTAAGTATGAATTCAGAACTTCCCAGCAGTCTCTGACATTCTCTTATAAGTTCCCTTTCTCACTTTCCAATATAAATGTTTAATATTCTGTTTCTCTCTACTTCTTGCTCCAGCTCTCATATGAAGCCATCAGAGAAAAATTCTCTCATAGCCCCTATCTACAAATCTTCACTATCTTTTCTGTCTCAGAAGACCAAGTATCTGGTTCTGTCAAAGACCACTTTCCGTGCATGCTCTGGAATCAAGGACTTTGTTCCTTTGTTCTTCTCTCTCCTGCATTGTTAATCTTTTCCTCTCTACTACATGGTTCCTATAGACACATAAACATACTCTGGAATCCCAGTGTTTAATCAGACGCAAAAAGCAAATACAAAACAAATCTTCCCTTTGTTCTGTGTCTTTCAGCTGCTGTTTCATTTTTCTGTTCTTTCCATCTAGCCAATCTTTTTGCTTATGTTTCCTTATTTTTCTCTCTAATTGGTTTTTAACATTTTTTTAAAACTTTTTAAAATATTGAGGTAAAATTCACATAACAAAATTAACATTTTAAAGTATATAATCCAGTGGTATTTAGTACATTCACAATTTTGTGCAATCACTACCTATATCAAGTTCCAATACCTCTTCATCACCTCAGAAGAAAACCCCTTACTTATTAAGCAGTCATTCTTCACTCCCTTTCCCCCAACCGTGACAACCTCCAATTCGCTTTCTGTCTCTGTGGACTTAACATATTCTGGATATTTTGTACAAATGGAATCACGTAATGTGTGACTTTTTTTTTGTCTAGCTTTTTTTACTTAGCTTAATGTTTTGGAGGTTCATCTATGTTGTAGCATGTGTCAGTACTTCATTCTCTCTTTAACTTTTTGAATCATATCCCATTGTATAGATATATCATCTATATGTGATCCATTTATCTGTTGGTGGACATTTTGGTTATTTCTGCCTTTTAGCTATTGTGAATAGTGCTGCTATGATATTCATATATGGATATTTGTTTGAGTAACTTTTCAGTCCTTTTGGGTATATACCTTTTGGAATTGTTGGGTCATGTGGTAATTCTCTCTTTAACTTTTTGTGGAACCACCAATTTTCCACAGTGGCTGCACCATTTTACATCCCCATCAGCAATGCACAATTCTTTGAATTTCTCTACACCAACACTTCTTATTTTCTTTCTTTCTTTTCTTTTTTCTTTTTTTTATTATAACCATCCTAGTGAGCGTTTAGTGGTGTCTCCTTGTGGTTTTCTATGCATTTACCTCTGATGTCTGATGATGTTGAATATCTTTTCACATGTTGATTGGCATTTGTATATCTTTTTTGAAGAAATGTCTATATTCAAGTTCTTTGCCCATTTTTTAATTGGATTGTCTTTTTGTTGTTGAATGGTAAGAGTTCTTTATTACATTCTAGATAGTAGACCCTTATCAAAGATATAATTTGCAAATACTTCCCTCAGTAGGTTTTCTTTTCAGTTTCTTAATCATGCCCTTTGATGCACTAAAGATTTTAATTTCTATGAAGTCCAGTTTGTCTGTTGCTCATGTGTTGGGGTCATATATATGAATCCGTTGTTAAATCCAATATAATAAAGATTTAATCTTACATTTTCGTCTAAGAATTTTATAGTTATAGCTCTTATATTTAGGTCTTTGATCCATTGTGAGTTAATTTTTGTGTATGGTATGAGGTAAGGGTGCAGTTTATATTCTTTAGCATGTGTATAACCAATTGCCTCAGCACCATTTGTTGAAGAGACTATCCTTTCCCCATTGAATGGACTTAGCACAAGTCATTTGTCCACAGATGTGTGGGTTTTCTGGATTCCCAATTCTATTCCATTAATCTATCAGTCTGTACTTGTGCCAGTAGATTTGTAGTTAAATTTTGAAATCAGGAGTTCTCCAACTTTGTTCTTTTCCAGTGTTTTGGCATTTTGGGATCCTTTGCAATTCTATATGAATTTGAGGAGCAGTTTCTCCATTTCTGCAAAACACGTTGGGATTTTGATAGCGATTACATTGAGTCTTATAGATCTCTTTGAATAATATTGTCATCGTAGCAATATAAAGGCTTCCAATGAACATGGGATGTCTTTCTACCTATTTAGGTGATCTTTAACTTCTTTCAGCAATATTTGAGCTTTCAGTGTCCAAGGATTTCACCTTTTTGGTTAAAATTTTTTCTTAGGTATTTTATTTCTTTAGATGCTGTCGACTTCCACAGTGGTCAGAGAATATTCCTTTTCCTTTTCTTTTTAAAAAATTGTGGATTTTAGATTTGTATCCCACATAGAACTCATATCATGTGGTTTTCAACTTTTTCTCTGGATTATTTCCCTTAGCATGATTATCTCGAGGTCCAGCCATGTTGTTGCAAATGGCAGTATAGCTTCTTATATAGCTTTTTCTTATAGCTGAGTAATCGTCCATCGTATATATGAACCAAATCTTCTTTATCCAATCATCTATCATAGGACACTTCAGTTGCTTTCATGTCTTGGCCATCATGAATGATGCTGCAATGACCATTGGGGTGCATATATCTTTACAGATAAATGATTTCAAATTTTTGAATATTAGGCCCTTATTAGATGCATTGCTTCCAAATATATTTTCCCATTCAGATGGTTGTCTCTCCTTGTGGACGGTTTCTTTGCTGTGCAGAAGCTTTTTAGTTTTTTGTAGTCCCATTCATTTATTTTTGCTTTTACATCCTTTGCCTTTGAGGGCAAATTCATAAAATCCTCTTTAAGTCCAAGGTCCTTGAGTTTAGTTCCTATGTTTTCTTCTAT